ACCAATAATAATCCAAGCTGGAATTCTTAATATTCTTTGCAGACTACAGCAAGCAGTTTGGGCCAAATACGATGATTCAGCGTGTATTATGGCGATGAGTTTTCCTTTAGTTGAATATGCTTTCTTCTTACAGTTGTGAGTGGCATCAACCCATTCTTTGGATATAGTGTCGTGTGTATCGAACCATGTTTTATCAAGGTAAATTATGGATCTATTTCTTGGAGGTAATTAAATCTCCACGTGTGTAATCTGTGTGATTCCATAACTCATTTCTATTTGTCTGTTTTGCGGTAATTAAATCCCATTTTACAAACAACCCTTATACGGCTTATATTTATATTGGTTTCTTCTTCTTCTAGCTTCTTTTTCAGTTTATCGAAGGTAGGAACAACTTCGCTTTGATAAAGTCAATATATTTTTTTTCTTATTAGGTCCTGATCACTATTGTCTATACAATGATGAGTTTGAAAATCACTACGTTTGTTCTTTTTCTTCAATTCTTCACTGTTAATAATATCCCTTATCGACGTTTCTTTTAAAGCTTCTTGTTGAATAAGTCCTTTACTGATGAAAGTTTCGTACACATTTTTCAAAACCTGTTTTGCATCAAGCGCCAAATGATGTCCAATTGTGCAGATTCAAACCGTTAAGAATGCTCATAAATTGAATAGATGGTGTAAAGTATTTATCAAAGGTTACATCAATTCTCAGCGCTTGTAGTTAAGTAACCGTTTGCAACATTTTTCTAGAAATATCTCCAAATCTGCACAAATAAATAATAAAACGTTTGTTGTACGGATAACAGTTCGCTACACTATATAGATGAAAATACAGCTAAACGCACTATCTCACTCGTACCCGCTTACGGATAAATGCCTTGCGCTCGCGTCTGCATCTGCCTGGCTACTGAGTAAATATAATTTTATAGTTCTCCAAGTAACATATGTAAAATTCAGCTTTTATACTGTAATTAAGGGGTAATAAAATTAACCCTAGTTAAGGGTGTTTGGCAGGGGGTTGCAACTGCACTAAGTGTCGTTATCACTAATAAAATATATGAAAACTAAAGTTTTGCTATACTAAGTTTGAGACACGCTTTTACATGGCTTTACTACCTGTTACTTGCCAAAGCCACCGCTACCCAAGTTTCATAACTTGGGATCGTTCTTTCCTCTATGTGGACATACATCGAGAAACTTTTAGATTTAATTATTTAACTAATATTTTTGGGTTTATCTGATTATTATTTATTCAATTTTCTGCACCGTGAACTTCAGCTTGAGAAAAATCCTCCGAATTTTTAATGTATGGTGCATACATCAGCTTCGGGTAATTTTTTTTTCAAAGAAACTTCCACAGGCTGCTGTAATACTTTTTACAAAACTTCTAGATTTTTCCTGCGTCGGTTTTTGCTGATTCGAACTTTCTGACGCTCAAAGTCGACTCCACTGCGGGTCCCAAGACCGGACAAAAAAGGAGTGTTGTTGAGTAAGGCCAGCTACCTGGTCGATGTAGAACAAACATGCAGCTCACAGAACCGGAGACATAGCCTCGGACCCAGGACGGATAACTATGAAGACGACCCATGCTATGAAAAGGAAAAAACGAACACGGAAAACCAAACGCAACATTACCAGAGTGGCCTGCTGGAACGTAACCTCGGAACGGAAGAGATCAATAGGTGCTTATCGAAATGGAGAATCACAGAAATAAAACGAAAAGGAAAGGGAACAGATAGATTCGACAAATATACCCTAATATACAGCGGCAAAGCTAAGCACGAAAGGGCAAGCTCAGGAGTCGGCATACTACTGCACGAAAAATATACTCAGGTTATCGAAGAAATAGATTATATCAATGATATGATACTAAAAATCTCCCTAAACCAAAACTAAACTACAATACACCTAGTTAGCATATACGCACCAGATATATCCAAGCCCACAGAAGAGTCAGAAAGATTCTACGAAGAACTTCAGAGCACCGTAGACAAAATAAATAACAACCATGAAATCATAATTTTCGGAGATCTTAACGCTCGAATAGGAGATGAGATACTTCCAGGTGTCAAACAGAAACACAATGAACCATTCATGAATGAAAACGGAGTGCTACTAATCTACTTTTGTGCCAAAAACGAGTTGAGAATTATTAACACCTACTTCCCACACAAGGCACAACACAAGTACCCATTGAACAACACTAGAGGCCAAAAATCTAAAAATGACTACATTATCACCAACAGAATCATCAAACCGACTCAAGTACTTGACGTAAGAGCACTAACTTCAGCTAATATAGGAACGGATCACAATCTCTCGAAAAATACCACATAGAATCACTAGAATCGGACAGCACGTGTAAACTCTATGAAAACAGACTAACAGATAGACTAGACGAGTTGGACCTCAACGAAAGCGATGTGGAAACCTGCTGGAATAAAATTAAGAAAGCCATCCTTCAGTCCGCTGACGAATCCATAGGAAAAAGGAAAGTAAATACAAACGCGACAAACTGTACTAAACCTTGGTTTTGCCAAGAAGTGAAAAACTCGCAGAACTAAAAAGAAGAAGCTACCTAGCATACAAAGGATCCCCAACCCAACAACGACATGCGGAATACATACAGACAAGAAATAGAGTTAACTCACGAATTAAAACCATCAAAAGGGAATACTGGATTAAGTTCACGAGCGATGTTTATTACGACATATATGGCGCCCAAAGGAAAGTGTGGAAAGATGTGGATGACAGAAAGAAACCGGTAAACGGATTCGTCCAAAGTAAAGGAGTTTCAATAGAAACGTGGGAAGAATACTTCGAAAGACTCTACAGCGCCAATGAAACACATGAAATTGAATATCAAACAGCAGCCAGCGCAACGGTTTCAAAGGCGGAAGTAAAAGAAAAACTAAGGAAAGCTAAAAACAGAAAAGCACCAGGTACGGATAACATACCAAACGAACTCCTGAAACACGGTGGCTATAAGCTTATAACAACACTCAGATCACTGTTTAATAAAATCTTGAGCACAGGAGAAATACCAAACGAATGGCACACGAGCATAACAATTCCCATCTTGAAGAAAGGACAAAAAACATCCCCTGATAACTACAGAGGAATAACCCTACTGTGTACAACAGACCTGATAAAAGACCAACTGGAAAATCACATAACCATTAGGGAAGAACAACAGGGATTTAGAAAGGGAAGATCAACAACCGACGCAATATTTACTATCAAACAAATAAAGGAAAAGGCAATAGAATATAATACATCAGCATTCATTTGTTTCATCGACCTAACTAAAGCATTTGACAAGGTCAAGCTAGGTGACGTCATCAATATACTAAAGGAAGAAGAAAAATATCAGCCAACATAGTAAAGGTAATCTGCAACCTCAACACCGACAACTCCACTCAAATTAAATCAGGACAACATATCACTAAAAGCATCCTAACACCAGGAGGAATTAGACAGGGAGACAGCCTGAGCCCACTCTTATTTAATCTTCTTATGGACAAAATCATAGAAGAAGTAGCAACCTTTAATATGGGATACAGAATGAGCAACAAACGTATGAACATGGTGTGCTACGCCGACGATGCAGCAATTTTCGCAGAAAACGAGAACGACCTACAAAGACAGCTATTCAAGTTCTATCAGCTTAATATGACCATATCGGTCGAGAAAACAAAAAGCATGACAATCACCAGGGAACCAATCAGATACAAGCTCGTAATTGAAGATAAGCCCATAGAACAGGTAATGCAATTTAAGTACCTTGGGATCAACATGTCTAGCGGCCACGAGCCAACAAAAGATCTAAGGGACCAAATCAACAAAGCAACTTCAGACTGCCTAAGAGAGATTGTCTGGGCCAACGAATACATGCGGAAGGACAATAAGATTAAAATGACGTACGCGATAGAAACAAGAGAAGACACTAACAAAACAAAGAGCTGCGCGTAGCCGAGATGAGGGTGCTGAGATCAAAAGCTGGCAAAACCAGAAGAGAGCACGTAAGAAACACCGACATAAGAGAACAATGCGACGTACAGGATATTGTAAGATGGGGAAGGCAGAGAAGAAGGCAATGGTATAACCACGTCAAGAGGATGGGCGAAGATAGATTACCCCGCATAGCTCTCGAGGGAATACCGTAGGAGGTCGTCGGCCCGGTAGACCGCCGAAGAGGTGGAGAGACAGCTGGCAGTCCACATCTCAAGAATTAATACAACGGCAAGCCCGGAATTAACAGATCATTTGATCTCAACCAAGTAGAAGAAGAAGAAGAAGAAGAACTTTCTGACGTTTCGCCAATCATCCTGTTGGCTTCTTCAGAGCTTGACTGAAACTGGCTGGCATTTTACTCTGTATCTGCTTATATACTGTTTGAGGGGGGCGGAGCTAAATGAGGGGCATAAACACTGTCTCCCCTCAAAAAATATATAAGCAGGTACATAGTAAAATGCGAGCCAGTTTCAGTCAAGCTCTGAAGAAGCCAACAGGATGATCGACTCAGCCAAAACCGACGCAGGAGTTATCCGGAAGTTTTGTAAAAAGTATTCGGGTAAATTGTCTGATTGTTGTTTTAAAAAAAACAACCATTTTATATAACCATTTAATATAACCAACAAACACCACATCAAGCAAAATTAAACAAAATTTTTCCCGAATTTAACTAAATACTACGTTGTATTAATGATTATTGCTTATTTTACGTATTATATTAGATCTGAACGGTCTGACGTCACAAGTGCTTTAATTATTAATTATTTATTCATTATCTTAGGACTTATTGTTTTTAAATTATTTTATTTTTTGAGCAAGTTCCCTATTCAATTGTGCATCACACCATGCGATAATATACGGTATTTAAAATGTCATAGTGAATGTTACTCGATGAGGCGGCAACCGCGCATAGACAAAGTTTTTAGGCGTCTAGTTCACCCTCTAGCCATTTATTTCAATTTATTTAAAATTAATTAATTCGCTTACCAAATTGTTTCTCAACGCCCGCCATTCCTCGACCGTTTGACTATCAAAGCCGTTCAGAAGAAATGAACGCCTGTCGATTCGGACCTCCCACGTTCTCGGTTCAGTAATTAAAAAAATAAACAGAGTCATCAATAGTATCGACAATGCAATGAGTTTCTTTTGCTTCAGCCATATCGTTATGCCCATTCTCACATTGCCTGAAAGAAGCAGTTGTTTCACGATCGATTTCTGGCCAACGTATAATTTTTTTTTAATTCGTAAAAGATCGATCACCTGTTTAGCTTAATCCTAACCGCGCATTTGTAACGTAACCAAAACTTGACTAATTTCGGCTTTATTCCAGTCGATACGCCACGACAGAACGGTTTTTGCTATTGGAAAAATGATAACAGTCCACTCCACGCGTGCGGCTTATAGATCGCTCTCTAATCTGAAATTTTAGATAAGATTACATTAGTCGAGGTCATCAAAACCGAAGCATTATGGGCTAGAATCTAATAGTTATGAATCAGTGAACTATAAAACTTTAAGCATTAAGTACCCGTATTTAGTGTTGAGGCTGGTCAATTAAGCACTTCGTAATTGATTAGTCAAATTCGATCAAAATGTTGCAATTTAGAGTGTTATCTATCATTGTTTAATAATAATACGTATTTTATAGTAAATTATATTGCGTTTGTGCTGTCCAATTTCCCTACATTCAGAAAAAATACGTTTTAAAATACACAAGAAATCCCCTTGTAATAAATCATCTCATTTCCACAATTTAACTAATCAAAATATAACATTTTGCGTTTGAAAATATTTTGATAATGATTTGTGATTTCCTGTATTTAATGTATTGCGCATTTGTTTTCAATGAAATTATGTTCAAAACAAATTAATACTTGCTTATTACAGAAGGACTGGTCTGCTGGCATGTGATCTTTACCAGTCAATATAACAAAGAGATGAAGCCGCCAATTTATTCATACTCGAATACGATATTTAGCGATTCCATTTAGTATTGTTTTTAAAATTATGTTAAAATTGACCCTACCCATATTCCATAGGTACACCGTGTCTCAAATAAAACGATCCACTATAGGATCTGGAAACCCATAGTACAAAAGTATCCCCCCCCCTTCCCCTTGACCAAAACTTTGTTATTTCACATGGGACACCCTATATATTTCGAATTTTTTTTAAATCCTTGGTTAAGATAAAGGTCACTTTCTTAAGAAATTCCTAATCGAATTTTGCATAGTTTAGGCATAAATTGAGGTTATGTTTTTTTTTCATATTTTCATTGCCCCATATAAAATGGACGCTACTGATCCCGGTACTGCAACGAAAATTTAAGCGCAGACTAAGGAGATGATGCACTACTCAATCACATATGGGCCTCAGCTTATACAGGGTGTACCAAATTGGTGGTGCCGTTTTGGCCAATTTAATTAATAAAATCTTAAGATTTTCAAATGTGAAACCCTAGATTTTTATTCCGATATCAATTCTAGGATAAAAAACAAGGTAAGTTTGTAATTTATCTTATATTTAAATTTTACTTTTTTTTTGACATATTCGAGGTTTAAGATACCACCAGCCTAAATTGACTGGTTGAGTAGGGCATCATCTCCTTAGTCTGTAGTTAAATTTTTACGTTGCAATACCTGGATCAAGAGCGTTACAACAAAATTTTATATGGGGCAATGAAAATATGAAAAAAAAAACACAATCTCAATTTCTGCCGAAACTATGCAAAATTCGAATAGGAATTTTTTAAGAAAGTGACCTTTATTTTAATTAAGGAATCCGAAAATGTCGATATATACATTTATAATAACAAAGTTGATGTCGGAGGCGACACTTTTGGGATACCTTGTATTAACAAAATTATAATATTTTAAACTCTCAAGAAAGTCCAAGAAACTTTTGTCTTAAACTTTTTTCGTATCTCCTATGGGTTTCCAGATCCTATAGTGGATCGTTTTATTTGGTTCCCGATGTACATGTAAACCTGAAAATGCAAACATGTTCGTGAGCCGAATTTAAAAGTATGATTTTTGAGGGTATATTAAATTAAATTTAATATAAAAATAAATGTTAAATTAAATATAATATTAAAATAAAAAATAATATGAAAAAATAGGTAGAATTAAACACGAAATGTTAATGGCGACACTGAAATTAGTATTGCCAAAAGCACATTTCAGTTTGATTGGGAATTTTCTAATCTGATCTGACGGTCTACTACTTCTAGGTATTTTTTGTAGAAATCGCCCAATTTCACGTCATCAAATTTAGATTTTAGGAGTGAGTTATCTTGAATCGCGATCAACGCCATTTGCAAGTGTGTTTAAGCATTTTGTAAAATACTTTTTGTTGGAGTAACTGTAGTGGCGTTCTATGCGTCGTTGATACATCCTGTTAAGTAAGATGATGGATGGTATCAGAAGGAAAATTCCTTATACCTGCTGATCGAACTTTGTTATGAGTAGAGATAAAAAGTAGGTTAAATTAGCAAACTAGTTGCATTTTCTCCACTGATTATGGTGTTGAAAACACCCTGTATATCTTTTACCCTAACGTTCGTAAATGACTAGCAGAACAGAAAAGGTCATATGCAATATTAGCCTAAAATTGAAATAACCGAATTATCAGCATATTGCTCCTTTAGACTAAATGGCTACGAGTGGTTGTAGAATACAATTGTATTTTCCTTTTATTATTTTATTATCAAACACTAATCATAATACCAATTTCCACGTCTTCATTTGTTATACAATTTTTTCGGCTCCTTCTTTTAGCAAAAATGGTTTCGTTATTACTAAAGATAAAGGTGTAGAAAAAATTGTTCAAAGAAGGCTGTGTAAAATAATGGCAGCCCTGCCAAATAGTTGTGTTAATTATTTAAATCGATTTTAATTTCAATTTTTAATTTCTTTTTCAAAAATGGTTTTTATACATGAAGAAAAGTACGACCTGTTAGAATGCTATTTGGCATGCAATAACTCGTCTGCAAATGTAGAGAACGATACATAAACCTATATCCATAGCGCGTTCCACCAAATGAACCATTTTTTTTGCCTTTATCGAATCTTTAGAAATAATGTAAGCGTTTTTGCAAAAAAGGGAAGAAAAAAAATATTATAAATGAAGACCTGGAAAATGGTGTTCTTGGATATTTTGGAGCATATCGTGACAATTCTATTTGATACATAGTCAAAGACGCTATCCTATCCTTCAATACTGTCCAAAGGATTTAAAAAAACAAAACACAAATTTGGCCTTATATATTCTAACCAGCTCAGATGCTTTTGGCAGGGAAGGCAGAGAAAAAACCGTTTTTGTCATTGATATTTTAACTTTTGCCGCCAAAACATAAATAATTTTTGGTATATTTTGTGGATTAACGAATCAAAATTTTTAAATTCTGGAATTTATAATCCAAAAAATGATCATTATGTGTCTAGAGAAAATTTTTTGTTCGTTTCAGCTTTAACGTTTAGTGCGGTATAATTGCATTGCACATTGCCAATTATTATGGCAATTCTGGATGGTTTTCTAGATGAGGTTGACCTCATAAGTAGACAGAATCTTTAGTTCCAACAAAATGGCCCACCAATTCATAACTGGGTTTCTACAAGTCGACCTATTGCTTGCCCTCCTAGATCACTGGATATAACCCCACTTGATTTCTACTTGTGGCGTTATTTGAAGGACGAAATTTATAAAGAAGGGATACCAAACTCGTTGACGTTGTAGAGGCTGCCATAAGAGAAAAAATAAACCAGATACACGGTAGAACAATACTATATTTGTTTTTTTTTTGCTTTTTTAAAATAACTTTAGTAGTAAATCATTAGGTTAAGGTTAATTACGCTTTTTAGTTTTTTTCTATTTTCTTATTTCGATGCTTCTTCCTCTCAAATAAAGCAATAAAAGAAAAATGGAGTTTCATTCCGCAACCACTCATGACCATCGAAATCTACAAAAGGTTGCCTCCCTTACCACCTTCTGACAAACTGTTCGTCTATCTCTCAGATAGTGTAGATTCTACCTTATTTTTTGGGCATAGAAGCATAATCACATCATAATACAGACTGCAAATAAATTGAAACTGTTCTCCACGAATTTGAAATCGCCAAATCTGTTCGACAATTATTTCGACAGTCACTTAAGTTCTTCAGCATGTTGAGCATAATCAATATTTTTATACGTAGAGAGGGTGGTGAAAGAACTCTTACTCGACAATATCTGTTCCACTCACAAGTGGATTTTGTTCTCAAACGCTTTTAAATGACTGCACAAACAATTTACTTACTGTCCTTGTAAGGGGTGTTTTTTTTCGAGGTATAGAACTTTAAGTTGCAATAAAACAACGATGGATTATTCGATTGACATGAATTTTATTTATCCGAAAGATAATCTTGTGGCATTACATTTTAAATATGATTTCTGGCATATAACCGCCACGGCTGGCGCGGATGTAGTCTAATCTGGACGTCCAATTTTCGATGAGATTTGTGGCCGTATATCGGCAATAACACGGCGAATGTTCTCTTCCAATTGGTCAAGCGTTTTTGTCTTATCCGCATAGACCAATGACTTTACATAGCAACACAGAAAATAGTCTAGCGGTGTTAAATCACAAGATCTTGGAGGTCGATTCACAGGTCCAAAACGTGAAATTAGGCGGTCACCAAACGTGTCTTTCAATAAATCAATTGTGGCATGAGCTGTGTGACATGTTGCGCCGTCTTGTTGAAAGCACATCTCCTGGACATCATGGTTATTCAATTCAGGAATGAAAGAGTTAGTAATCATAGCTCTATACCGATCACCATTGACTGTAATGTTCTGGCCATCACCGTTTTTGAAGAAGTACGGATCAATGATTCCACTAGCCCATAAAGCGCACCAAACAGTCAGTTTTTATGGATGTAACGGTGTTTCGACATACACTTGAGGATTAGCATCGCTCCAAATGCGGCAGTTTTGTTTGTTGACGCAGTCATTCAACCAGAAGTGCGCTTCATCGCTAAACAAAATTCGCTTATGAAAATTGAGAACAACGGCAATCTCGTTTTGGACCCATTCGACGAATTTACGCCTTACTTGATGATCGTTTGGCTTCAATTCTTGCACGAGTTGGATTTTGTAAGCACGTAAACCAAGATCCTTCCGCAAAATCTTACATAAAGTGGATGGACACAGATCCAATTCCTGTGCTCGATGGCGGATGGACTCATTCGGGTCTTCCTCAATGCTACGCTCTACAGCAGAAATAGCTTCTTCTGTACGCACCGTACGCCATCTTTGGGGATGCGAGTTATCAATAAGAGTAAACGTGGTGCGAAAACGTTCCATGGATGGACGATTTTGTCGACGATAAAATGGACGTAGTGCGCAATACGTATTCTGCACAGAACCATTATTTTCGAAATA